ACGGTCACAGAATGGTGCCAAAGAGCCGCCTCCAGCAACAGAACACATCTCCCGGCACATCACAGTCCTGCAGAAGCATCAACTCTGCTTGCAACCCATGTCCAAAAGGGAAAGTTCGGAGTGGTTCTGCTTTCGGCATATCTCAAGGACTAATTAAATCCTCCTCGCTACCTTCTAATTATTCAAATGCTGTGGGATTACACTGAGGAAGTCCCTGCTGGCGTGCCAGATGAAAAGGGTTAAATCACCTACGTTAATTCTGAGAATCCAGATCTAGTTCAGACCTTCAGAAAACCACCAGCGTTACCATGAATATTTAACTAGACACCACTGTGAAAATTAAAAGGGAATTCAATTAAAAGGTTTTCAAAAAATTAATTCTGACCTCTCTACATCTGTCCAAATAAATAAGCCTTCTTGAAACGTTTTCACCTAATTGCTAATCCAATAACTAGAAGGGCATTTGCTAGTTTCATTAAGCTTAACATTTTACGGGGGTTAAAAATGCAATCATTTTAATGTTAATAATAATTATACTTATTTATCTACTCAGATGACTGAGTAGATATTCCCTCCAAGCCCTCTTGGAAAACAGGGCAACACAATACGAAGCCATTTCCTACTGTTCTCTCTTCAAATTTTAAGATATACAAGTTGAAGATTATACAAGAAGGATAAAACTGACCTAAACTCATTAGCTATGATTTTCTCGTACCATTTATTTTAGTATTTCAGCGTTATCTGGTCGCTTCCTCCAATGTCTCAGGTGGCGTGATTTACACTGCTTGATTTTTTGGTGAAGGGCTTAAGCAGCAATTCTGCATTTTGTTATGTGAGGACCACCTAGACAAGATTTAAGGTAAAACCCGCTGGTGAATGTGTTACAGAAGACTGAACTGAAGTCTTGACCTTTCTCCTTTTAAACTTTATCAATAATGAAGCAGGCAAGAAAAAAGAACTTGAAGCCTGGCTCTTTACTGAGTTACTAGGAGGTTCTAACACCATGTGAGGGCAAACAGGAACGCGCTGAGCCGGGTGCTGCACAGGGAGCAGACCAGTGTGCGGAGACAGCACCACAGGACAGTAAAGAGACCAGTAAATACCTAAATTGTTTCCCTTCTTTTTGTACCTGGGAACAGAAGCCCATATCCATATTTCCTTGTATGTACACTCCATGAAAATATAGAACTGCAGAAATTCAGTCATGTTGGCCTACGTACGGTGTGGGGAAATGGATCTGTGACTGATGACCTTAGACAAACTTGACCTCAGAACCACCAGATTGGAGGGCACTGCAGGGCTGCTGGAGATCTGGGCAGCACACTGACTCCACACCCGACTCAGCAACCAGCTCTGAGAAGAGGACATGGCCTTACAGATCCCAGTGTGGTTCAGATCCTAGGACAGTTTGAGGTTTGCAAAATTCTCAACAGAATATAGTTTATTAATACACCTTCTTCCTGAACAGGAATCCAAGGACCAAGTAGCAAGGAACGATGGGCAGGGCATGAGCTCAGCTTCCCGAGCCTGGAGGGAGCCAGGCTTATGGGGAGAGTTATCAGCACTGCTGTCCTTCCTGAGGACTCTGGGAAACACCCAGAACACCACACTGCCAAACAGAAGCAGGTTGCATCTGTCTCCAGGCAAGAGTGTTTCTAGATTCTTTGCTATTAAAGAAAATCTATCCCCTGTAGATACATGAAAGAAGATGTGCGTTAACTGGAATCTTACTCTCTTATCCTAATCTTACTTCTTAAAACAAAGTAAGTGTAAAAGGAATTGATCGACTTGGTTATTTTAGTACTCAGCAGTGTGGGAGCTATGTTCCTGTCTAGCAAGTTCTGAGAGAAAAGAAAATACGTTTTTTTAAAAACGATGCTAACTCATTAATATACTTCTTTCCTCTCTGTTTCTTTCCTCACTTCCTTCAATAGGGGTAGGGGGCTATATCAATTGTAAAGGTATAAATGGAGTTAAATTACTTTTCAATACATGGGTGTCAACACTGGGGAATTTTCAATCAAGTGTTTTCTCAAATCTACTTTGTATTATATACACTCTTGGTACACACCCAATAATGACAAAAGAGACAAGGAAAATGTTACATTTTATCAAAGCATTATAATGACTGTGTTATTTGCCATTGAGACACCTGATCAAGTATCATCAAGAACTAATGTTTCTTCCTAGATTTTAACAAATAATAAAGCCATTAAAAAAAAAAATCCTTGCTATCCAATTTTGGAGGAAAGTTAACCATGCATGGCAAAGTATCTTTTTTTTTTTTTTGGTAAAGATTTTACTTATTTAAGAGAAAGAGAGAGAGAGAAAGAGAATGAGTGGGGGGAAGCAGAGAGGGAGAGGGAGAAGCAGACTCCCTGCTGACCCGGGGATCATGACCTGGGCCGAAGGCAGATGCTTAACTGACTGAGCCACCCAGGTGCCCCATGGCAAAGCATCATTCACCACCTATTTGGAAATATGAGGTCTTCCCATTTAGGGGGCTGTCCAACCAACAGAAGGCACACAAGGGACACACATAACATCTTTAGCAGCCTTTCAGAGAAAGCCTGGGGAACGTGTTCATAAAAATCAATTCAGATTTAGCAAGTTATAAAATTTATATTTGCCATTTGAAGGAAATGGTTATTATAACTACCCAGATTGTTAAGTATCCATTACCAATTACCAAAACCACATTACATACACTGAAGATAATCAGAAGGAAAAAAATAACAAACACATCCACACAATCATTTTATATAGTGACACCAGAAGAAAACTCTGGATTTTCTTGCTAATGTATTTAAGTTAAAATTTTAGCAAAGGGAGAGGGAAAGAGAGTCTGAAGCAGACTCCATGCTGAGCGCAGGGTCTGACTCGGGGCCGAGATCCCCACCTGAGCCCAAACCCAGCGTCCGACGCTTAGCTGACAGCACCACCCAGGTGCCCCTGTTTAAGTTAGAAGTTTGACTGTGTTTCCTCATTGTGGCACCATGATTCACATTTGGCTTTCTACATTTTCAAGTTCTTAAGGGTGTTATTAGTTGGAAGAGGCTGGGGGACATGTTGCTGGATGATCTAGAAGGCGTTTCTCTCTTTTAGTTCTTTGCAATAAAGCTCAGAATGGTAGGACTTCCGAATAAGGAACCTCTTACCCTTGAATGCTTGCCGAAGAAGCGGCCTCTCCCGGTGGGAATGGTGCTACGGGGTTATGGTGAGGGTTAAGGGAAATGACAAATATCTTCATCTTAGCTCTGGGTCTGGCCTGAGCAGGTTTTCAGTGCAGGATAATTTCTCTCATCCTTTATTTTCTTCACTTCCCTGACCTGGCAGCACAACGGAGGTGCAACCCAAGGCCAAGTAAAGGAGTTTGGAGAGAATTCTCCCTTGCGTGGTGCTAGCATGCTCTCCATGAACTTCCAGATGACCAGAGACCCGAGGAATTAATACAGAAGAGAGATGTGAGGTATAAGACTGATTCACAGGAGGATACAGTGGAAAGTTCAGAGAAAGAAATGCACATACTACACAATTATTAGAACATATTATAGTATCATTATAAGGCAGTGGTTCTCAAAGTATGGTCCTCAGATCAGCAGCATCAGCAATAGCTGGGGACTTGCCCAAAATGCAATTTTAAATGGCCCATCACAAGCCTACTGAGTCAGAAATCTGGGGGTGTGTGGCCCAGAAATCTCTTTTAACCAGTTCTCTAGGTAATTCTCATACACCTTGAAGTTTGAAAACCATTAGCTATCCCATCATTAGGTCATACTACAGTATCTCAATAAGGGAATTCATGTGTTAGCTATACATTAAATTATAATAAAAAAGTTAAATATGTAGAGGTAGTAGAAAATAAAAATTTCATTTTATTCCTACTAAATATTCATTTCAACACCAATGATGTATAGCTAGGACTAATCCATTTTTTCACTGGCATTACTTTCTAAAGCACGAGGTGCTGAGTTAAACATGTAAAATAACTGAAACATTTTAATTCCAATTAGAAGCAAATCGTCATCTGTACAACTCATACAGGAATAATTATAAACGTGAGGGGTCGGGAACCTTTAAATAGCAGCTCCCAAGCTAGCCACGTCTGTCTTTTGGGTGGGCGTCAGGGAGAGCGCAAGTGACACGCTCCATGGGCGGACTGGGCGAGCCCTGACTCACAGGCAGTGGGAAGTGGCCGGCACAGCCCCACATGGTGCAGTAGGCGTGGAAAGCCTGGTCTACAAAAATCACCACCAACAAAAGTAGCTTTACTACAGAAGGAGAGAAAGGAGACAGAGATAAATAAATGAAGGCCAAAGGCTGTAACCAACACAGTCATTTGTGGGGTCAATGTGTACAACCGAGCTGAAGATCAGAGTCTGCCTACGGGGGGCCCACGTGACCAAGAGCTTCAGGAAGAGCCCGTGTTCTTTCTTCCGGCTCTGGCCCTCGAGAGCCTCCGACAGTGAGGAGGTCCTCTGGGAGCTCTCTGGTTCTCAGTTTCTTGAGTTCAAGTGGAGGTGACTGAACTCGACAAGCTCTCAGGTTGGCTCTAGTTCTAAGCTACTACAATTGTCAATACAATGTCTTACTCTGTGTTTACATTTTTACTGTCTAAGCATCCTGGGATAAATAGTTGGTCAAAACAGTTAAACATACACACACTCTAACATTTTACTTCATTAGGACCGATATCCAAATCGCATTGGGAACAGTCCCTTTGGCCCAGCTAGACCAAGTGTCAGGTTACATTCATGTACAAACTGTGCTTCACGGTGCTACGTGGACACACATGCTCCTTGGGTCTTGAACTGCACTTGGTAAAACTTCACCTGATCTGCAAGAAGGCGGCTTCTCTTCCATGGTTGTTGTATGTATGTCCTTTTTTTGTTCATCTGACGAAAAAATATTATCTCTAAGGAGATGCACGGCTGACCAGATTCGTGTAAGCCTTAGATACTCAAAACACAAAGATATATAGACATGAACTGAAGACTAACCTCTTTCCTGTGACATTGGTGACTGGCTCAAGGCAGGATGGGGGCTGGATTCTGACTGGCTCCCGGGTGGCTGAGGAGGCATCTGACTGCCTGGAAAACACAGGAAGGGAAGTGGGGATGGGGAACCCTCTACATTAATATTGCAATTGTGCAAAACCAAGACACAGTCACATTTATTTAAATTTAACGATTACAGAAGGTATGGCCCCGTATAGAAAAAGCCATGGCTCCCAAAGCAGGCTACATCGTCCCTTTCTGGTAAAACAAAGAGGAAACATGGAAAATCAGACTCAGCAAATGACCTCCTGATAAGTTTCATTTCTTCCTGAAGGAGTTCCCAAGCTCACAAATAAACGAGCAGCAGAAATCTGACACAGACTTTAACGTAGCTAACAAAATCCGAGACTAATGCACTAAATTCCCCCCTCCTGAGTTTGAACTGGTTTCTAAGTGGCCAGGCATGCACAGTGGCCAAAAATTTTTTGTTGGTAAATATTTATTTGATGTAGAAATATCAACCAATTTCTAAAAAAAAAAAAATCTTTAACCAGAGATTTAATACAAACACAATAGACTTTGGTGAAAAAAAACCAGAACATACGACTATAAAATCTACATTTTATATATATTAGCACTAAAGAGGAAGTATTATTCTGCACCTTTTTTGACCTTTATTGCTAATAAAGCAATAGCATCTATTAACATCTATTTGATTTCCGTTTATTTAATGTGTGCTCAGTGTGTCTCTTCAAACTATAATGTAAGCTCCTTGAGACAGGAATCATGTCTTTTACTCCTTTAATCCCTCCATTAGCATAACAAATATTAATAAAACTTTGTTATTTAATGGCCTGTAATCTAAGCATATGAATTATGCTCAGTATAAGTATAAAGACACTTGTTATTTTTATTAAGTAAAGGGAGACAATGAGTCATGTGAAGGCAGGAGACAGGATTTTGAAATTTAAGAATCATCAGAGGTACATGATAATCACTTTCTGGCTCAGAGGTTTAGATACATTTTGACTAAAAATATTATTGAAGAGGGCAGCTGAATTTAGCCCAGTCCTCAAGGTGCTAGCTCTCATGGCATGAAGAGCTTGCTGTTTTATCTTCTCATCTTCTCCTTTGCTAAAATAAACTGAAAGACTGAAATAGATGCACATACATAGCGACATGGTGCATACGTGCAGGCATGTACCGATCTCCCCACATCACCCCCTGGTACTACAGCCGATGACCATGCTAGGTCAAGCTACCTGCTGACATCACAGCACCCACTTCTCTACGGTTCTGTATACCGCCACAGTACCACAGCTGAGTACAGAAGGAAATTAATGGATTGAACATCACCACCAATTCGCCCGGTGAAGGTCATGCTGCAGAGCCTGGGGTTTTACGCTGAACAACCACCCTCTCCTCTTTCTAACCAATGGCATCTCTGCAAGGCCAGGAGGCCTGACTCCAGCTCAGGAAGAGCGTGGTCCCCAGAGTCTCTCAGGAGTGTCACTCATTACTAATTCTGATAACGGCTACATCTGTAGCAGCCAGAGAGGCCGGAAAATGATTTTCCATCTAGATAATACACACCTTGTTGTCAGAATAGAGCTATTAAAAAATCCCAAATTGTTTTTGGGAGTTTAGGCTTCTCACTTTAAGAAAAGAATGTATTTAAGACCTGTGGATATATCTCTGGGTGCTCCTGGGTTCAAATGCCCTTCTCATTCTCAGATACAGTGAAAACTAAGACCTGAATGGACAGACGCTGAGAACCGTGGCGCTGTGAGACCACCAGGAGTAGCTCTGAACTAACAGCCACGCCTAGTGTCTAAAAATCCTAGACAAACAGTCCGGTCTCTCTTCATTTTACTCCTAGACATTTGCAATAAATTTGTGTGAGCACCAAATAATTAAACGGAAAGTAAAAAACCAACATTCTGGATGAAAACAATTTCAAGGGTGAACACTGGTCATCAACGTGGCCACAGACAAACAAAAGTTGCTGTGTCTACTCAGGGTCAAGTGCTTCCTATGAAATGCCCTCAGGCTCCCAATCTGCAGCCCATTTAGAAATGAAAAGCACTCTGCAGCCAAATCCTGACTTTTTAAAATGTCACCGGGGAATCAGCTGCACTAAGACAGTAAGTGCTTACATTATAGTGATTGTTTCTGTATGACAGACCGAATTCATAGACTCATGACAGCAAAACAAACAGTAATTCTGCGTTAATACAGGACACTACCACTTACGCTATGCACGCCCAAGGCGCTGCTCTCATGTACAATATATTAAGTAAAAGTAAAGAAAGGCTGTAAGAAACCCATCTCATGAATTCATAAAACACCGCCACATCCAACAGCACTATGCTTGTCTGGTGCAATTCTAAGACGGATATCTCTTTACGGCAACGAGAAATTTATTACTAAATCCATCCTTTAAAGAAATAAACAAGAGCCTTTTTGTGGTAAAGACAGATTTGAGCAAACTGCTTTAAATTCCCCACGTGCTTTTACCCCCTATCTTTCCACCAGTAGTTTCATAGTTACTAAGAAAGAGAGCTTCACCCTCTGAAGGCACAGGTAGAAGCACAGTCACAGCCGGTGATGAATCAGAAAATAAATCTGAGAAATATAATACACGATTAGTTTGTGTCCCTGGTCCACATAAAGAAGATAATTCAGAGCCCTCTGAACCAAATGAATTAAGTAAATACCCTCAAAATCATAGATTTTTATAGGACATATGTTTCTCATAAGTAAAACCTTTTAAACAAAATTTGTTAAGTATTTTAAAAGAGAATATTGCCATGCATAGTGAACAAACTTTATGCGAAGGCTTTAACATTAAGTCAGAGTTTTTAAAGAAAGCCATTTTCCCCTCATCTATAATGATGCGAACATAATGGAAAAAACATTACAACTGGAAAAAACTATGCTGAGTTAGAATAAATCCCACCACTTTACAGCTATGTATTTATTCTCCAATGACCATATATACGATATTGTACAAAATCCTGGTGCAACAAAATGAAAATGAAGCATCAGTAAGTCACCTGAATTTCTGCTGTTGCCAACTTAAAACTCTCAGAAGTCTGCAGCATGATTTTTTAAAAGAAATTTTAATTTTACACTTATAGAAGTTTACAACATGAGTATAATGAACTCCTATAAATCCCTTAGCTCACCTCCCCTAGTGTTCACATCTTATACAACCATAGTATCATTATCTTAAGCACTTAACGTGCTACCACACTATTAACTGAAGATCTTACTTGAATTTCGCCATTGTTTTTCTTCCTTCCATTCTAGCATCTCGCATTGCGTTTATTTCTCCATAGTCTCCCCCAGCCTATAAAAGACCCTCAGCCTTTCCTTATGTTTTAGGACCTTGATGCTTTTGGAGAATACGGCTCATGACATAGACATGTTTCATTTCTGGTGTTGTTATACTCTGATTACTTGGCAAAAGTTGGGTATCTACCAAATCCCTCCAAAATAAAATTACTATTGTGCCCTTCGCAGTTGTATCTTAGGGAAGATATCTGAGACTATGCAAATCCTCTTACAAACTTGCTTGCATTAACCTCAGCATCATTAGAGGACCCCACCTATTACATTTATTACAAAACTGTTTGTAATGATGATCCTTTATTCTCTTCTTTCCTTTTGCATTTATTAATGGAAGTCTATTGTGAGGAAGAACTAGCTCCTCCCCCACTTTGTTTATGTATTTATAAGACTATTTCTATCCACAAAAACTCATTGTAGAAGACACACTATAGGATGACTTCCAGCAAATCACATCCTGGTGTAATCCTCACGTCTTGATTGAAGGCAGAACTTGTAACTTGACTTTAACTAAATATAACAAAAGGAACGAAATATCACTCCTAAAATTACATTACATGGCAAAATTAAAGGTGTTTTACAGATGTAATTAAAGTCTTTAATTGGCTGGTTTTGAGACAATCAAAAGGGCGATGATGATGTGCAGACCTGACTTTCAAAGAGGACCCAGGCTTCTCTCAGCAGACCTGTGTTTCCCATGGCCTTGAAGGCCTCACTTCTACAACCACAGATCATCTGACACTCTGCAGCCTTCTGAGGCCCTGAGCAGAGCACCTACTGGGCTGTGTGCCTGGATGCCTGGCCATGGAAACTGTGAGGAGGTGTATGTCTGTTGTTTTAAGCTGCTAAGTGTGTAGTAATTTGTACAAACAACAAGAAATGAATACACTCGTTGATATTTATTTTATTCCATAGGTTAAAATCCAACATTGACATTATTTTGTTCCTAGAACTGTTCCAGCATTGGCCATCAGAAGTTCCTTCAAATCCTTGGTTTTTGGAATCATAAGTTACTGCAGGCTCATTTTGCATTTTTTCTGACCTAGCCCTGTAATCAAGCACTTCTCCTAGGATTGCTTGATCTTTTTACTGCAAGATCATGTTCACAGATGAAGATCTGAGCACTAGGTGTGCTCATTATTTCTGGGATGCTATTGCTTCTTGGCCCTCTCAGTGAACAGATGTAGGAAATACACGTATGCACACTAACCCATACGTATATTCGCATCTACATTTCAGTATCTGTGTGTGTAACTGTGGGCTTATGAAAATACCTCTGTTTCCAATCCAGAATTGGAGGGTATATTTTAGTCTTCCCTCTTTCCTTATTAAGACTTCTTTTTACAATAGTAAGAAACCCCGATCTCATTATCTAAATCAATACACAAAGTAACTTCAGAATTACGCATCTACATCACTGTGAAAAAACAGAGCCATTCGTTAGAGGACTTCCTGCCATTTTGCATTCCCTTCACATCTTGACTGGCCCTAATTGTTTTGATATTTGGGTGGTACGTGAAATATTTCCATGGTTCCAGAAGTCACCAAGAGATATAAAAAGATGTGTGCTGAAGAGTCAGTGCCCCCCTCAATCCTGCTGCTGTTTCCATTTCTTCTTCTTTCCACTCCTCTTCCAGCTGCCCTCTATAATAAACAATTTTTTTAAGGTTCTGGTTTATCTTTGCTATATATATTTCTTCATAAATGAAAGGATATCTGTGGATTCTCTTACATTATTTTAC